TTTTTTTTTTTTTTTTTAATGTAATAGAAAGTGGATTTTTATGTGATCACAGTACTTTTGGACCTTCTATAGTTTTATGTCAAACTTAGCGCATCCTTCACTACTTTAACGTTGTAAAGCATTTACCTGTTGACTTCTAGTATTTTACTGATGTACTTTTTCCATTTATGTCTTTGATCCTTGTTGTATTTCAGTTTTAGGACTAAACTAGGTAATCTAGTTTTTTGTTTTTTTTTCTTTTTAATGGCCATTGGACTCATTTGTTGAACAGGCGCATTTCCCTAGTAATTTGCAATATTTTATTAAATAGATTTCTATAAATATTTAAATCTCAATATACTGTCTCTATACTGAATTGGTCTGGCATTCTTGTATCTGTGTTCTTTTATTGCTGTGGGCTTGTAACATCTATTAAATTGAACAGCTAACCAGCAGTGGGAAAATGTAGGTATGCTGGATTAACAGAATACATTTTTCTGTCTATAATATTTGTGATATCTATTATATTGTGGAATATAAAGTAATTATAAAAAGTAAATGATTTTAACATAGTGCTATATGTTCTAGAGAAACAAAAGTTAACCAAGAATGTTTTAACATGTTCGAACCAACTTAAACCATTGCTGGTACATGCCTGACTGCCCCATCAGCTACTACAGGCTGCCTGATGGAGCAGTTGTACATGTACTCCCAGTGGTGCAAGCCACCTGACAGTGAGATAGGAATTACAGCCTTATAATGAACGTGTTAAGTCTGTTTTTGACTGTGATTGCATGAAGAATTTTGATTTTATGGTTTCTGTGTGTGTTTTGCAAGAAATGTAGCACATCCTTTCAGAAAAGTTTATTAAGAATTTATTTTTTTAAAAAAAGTTTCTGTTTACAAATGTCTTTATCATTCAGAGCATAGGAAATTTTTTGACGGAATTTCAAGTGAAAAGTGTTCCTTCAGAAAGAATTGCAACTCAGAAAATCCTGTCTGTGATAGGAGAGTGCCTTGACCACTTTGGCCCTGGTTGCGTGGGTATGCAGAAAATTCTCAATGCCCGGTGTCCACTTGTGAGGTTCTCCCACCAGGCCTCTGGATTTCAGTGTGATTTGACTACCAACAATAGGTATGGTCACGTAAGTGTATCATCTTAAATATGAATATTTTAAGCTATTAGATAAAATGACTTTGGACTCTTAGAAATGCTTCAGTGATACTTTTAAAACATTTGAATACTTAGATTGGAAAGTAAGAAATTCTATTTCTTTTATTATACCTACTGATAATTTAGTGTTCCTAACAGTGCATTGTGTTGAAATGTTAAACACACCCAACAATGAAATATGTTCTTATTTGAATAGCCTAATAATGCGAAAATTATATTTATATTGCAAGTCTTCAGAATATATTTAAGAGAATAAGGTAGCAGCTTGAATTTGACCTCTTGACTACCTTCAGGTATAGTTAGCTTTGTGTACTAATTGAATGTGGCATTTGCTTAGGTCAAAAATGGCCTAAATAGCTTACTACTGCACAGGTTTTTCTTCATATATTTGCATTATATTGCTCTAGTATCTGGTTTGCTTAACAAAAGTAAAGGGGGAATGACATTTTTGTATATTCTGAATACCTTCAAAATAAATTCACTTCTCATTTGAGTTTATTTCTTCATTCAGGTATTCACACTTAAGTTTAGACATTTGTTTCTTTTTTTTTTTTTCCCTCTCTGTATTTGGTATAGGATCTCAGCACACAGCTCAGACTTGTAGTAGTGATCCTCCTGTTTTCAGCCTCCCTAGTCCTGGAATTACAGGGGTGCACCTGGGTCTTGGTGGCCCACTCAGTGAACCCTGTGGTGCCGGCAATTGAGCCCTGGTTCCTGCCCTTGCCTAAGCAGGCGCTTAGTCCACTGAGCTATCTCATCAGCCTTTCCACACTTACATTTGATTTCACTGGGCAGTTTTGATTAAACCCAAATGTTTATTGACAAGCTAATGCTAACTTAATTCTGAATTTTTCAGTAGCCGGAGGAGGGTAACCTGTGATTCATGCCAATTTTAATATAAAAATAGCATATAGTGCACTGTCATTACATTTTCCATCTAGTATGTAAAGTAGGACAATATAGCGTTTGTTTTTGTAATGATGTTATTTTCTTGTTTTTGAGAATTTGTTTTCACATGCTCTTTTCAGGTTTTTGTATGATTGCAATGCTTATATCAGATGTTATACTATTTATAGTTTTGTAGCTTATTTTAGCTTTTACGTGCCTAACACAATCACTGTGAATTTGTAATTTGCTGTTTATTCTATCCTCCTTACACTCGGAGGGGGTAAGTGCTATAGTAGTATTCTATGACATTGAAGTAGACCATTATAAATTTAAATCATTTAAATGATTTTTGTGCCTTCTTTTGATTCTTTGAGAAATTCCAAGATACACTTTGATTAGTCCAGACTTAATTTAAAAATATTTCTGATTAATCTTTGAATTTGAATGTTGATTAGGAAATTTGTGAAATAATTTTTTAAGTTTAATTAATTATTATGATAGTTAAATAATTAAAAATGGGGTCTTGCTGTGTTGCCCGCACTGGCCCACAATTCCTGGCTCACTGTGCTTCTTGCTATAGCCTCCAGAATAGCTGGTACCATCGGCATGCACCACCGTGCCCCAGCTGTCAGGTTCCATTTCTGAATGGGCACTTTATTTTCAGGCAGTTTTTATTTTTATAAATTTTAAGCTTACATAATTTTAGCCATTTCACAAACTGCAAGCATTTTAAGACCATATACTTTTAGTGATAAAATAGACTGTTTTCCTTTTGGTTAAGCTATGTGCTTTCCTAAAAGACAAGGTGTGAAACCAGGGCAAAGACATGTATCTATGTCTTTGGTGCTAGTTTTGAGATCTCTGTGTGTTTCACTTAGTATTTAAATCATACTTAGGAAATTTTATTTGAAACTGCAACTTTTACAATTGCATTGTGATTGTCTTAATGTTTCAGTGGTATTGTGTTTGGTATTCAGGTATTTATATTAAGTTTTACATTGATAGTACTTGATGCTTTTGATTATTTAATCATGGTATTTTGAATGTGTTCAGCCACAGGTAGTATTTAGATATGTGCCCAAATGAATGCTTTTTTTGATATTTGCATCATAACTTGGAGTTTGAATATTCCTTTTATGTTTCCTTTCCAAGGATTGCCTTGAAGAGTTCAGAGCTCCTTTATATCTATGGCACGCTGGACCCCCGCGTGAGAGCCTTGGTGTGCAGCGTCCGATGCTGGGCCCGAGCGCATTCTCTGACGAGTAGCATTCCTGGGGCTTGGATCACAAATTTCTCCCTGACGATGATGGTCATCTTTTTTCTTCAGAAAAGATCTCCTCCTGTTCTTCCCACTCTAGACACCCTCAAGACCCTAGCAGGTAAAACTCACAGCAGTCTTCTCTTTTTTTCCTCTTTGGCCACGAAGATAATTAGCATGAGTTATCAATATTTATTAGTCTATACTTATTAGTCATGTAATCTGTTGTCTTGATTTTTAAATCTAACAAGAAATTAAATTGTTTCATATATGAATCTTAAAAGTTTCAGTGCTTTGTATTTATTTTTTTCTAATGTCCACCAGAGGTCATGAGAGCAGATGGCTTTATGAAACAGCCTTTTGACAATTCTGTTAACTTTAGTAGACATTACCAAATAATATCCTAAAGAGTAAACTCTCCTAAATATTCCATACAAGTCCTAAATTTGTTTCTTTACTGACTCCTGATTCAGTCTTCTTTTATGTTGGTCATTCTGAGTGCTTGGATAGTGGCATCATCTCATGCTTTTAATTTTCTTTTTCTCTGTGACTGATGAAATTCATCATCTTCTCATGTATTTGTTAGTCATTTGAGTATCTCCTGTGAAGGATCTGTAAGTCTTTTTTCTATTTTTTCTTTCAGGGTAATTTTTTTCTTATTCATAAGAAATATATAATGAATTCCCTGTATATTCTAAGTATGAGTCCTTTACCACATATATATGTATTTATTTGTATATCTCAAATATATGCACACTGTCGTTGACTTCATTCTTCATAGTGTTAACAGTCTTCACAGTGAGGAAAATAGCGTCTTTATAAGTTTCATTTTAGGTATCTGCAGTCAAAGAGTAAAATATTCCACAGGCTTTGTAACAGGAATTCACTGTCTGATATGTGTTTTGGATCACTTTTGCCTCCCCCCGTGGACAGTTAACTACTTTTTAACTTTTAGGTGATTTGTAGGTTTTAAACTCTATTTTTACAAATGCTTGAATTACTGTTTGTTAAGTTTTTTTGTGAACACCGAGACTTCCCTTTATGGGGGAGGAGAACTGACTCTTCTGTAGTGACCTCTCATAGTCTCAGTGTAGCTATATGATAGCTGTGGCATGTTCTCTTTACCTTACTGTGAGTGTGTAAGAGTTGTTTCCATCTGACCCACAGAGTAAGCCAAAATTAATTTCCTTTTGTGTCCAGCATTTTAACTTTTTGGAATTATTTTTGTTTTATTTTTATTTATTTATTTATTTTTATTTATTTATTTTTTTTTGGAATTATTTTTTTTAATACTACTTGTTTTTTATGTATAAACATTAATTGAATCTCAAAGTGGCTGCCAGTTAGGAGACTTGTAGTAGAGGCTCTCCTCAGCTGCCTGAGAATCTTGAGCCTGTATCCCCCATGCCCTTCACATGTTAAACTGCAGGTGTTAATTAGTAGAGCAAAACCAAATGGTGACTTCTCCCACATGGTGACTGCTGACCCATGGTAGGCTTGCAAGGTTTAGACTTGTTAATAGTTATAGTAGATACTGATTACAGCTATTTATATAGTCCTTAGGTATTCACGGTTAGCTCCCAGTAAACTTCGTGTAAAAGTAGGCCATTGTGAGGGAAATTTTTGTAAGAGAGAAAAGTATTAAGTCTTCACCTGCCCTTGATATCTGTTGCATCCTTCACTGATATGCCTGTCAAACTCTGGTTTATTGGGAAAGCATGTGGCTGCCATCATGTTGCTTTCTTTGCCTTTGACCAGAGAAATTAACCTAAATGGTTATAGATGCACAGATGAGATTATACTGTTCCCTGTGGGAATCTGTCACTACCAGTTGTTACCTGTAGTGCCCTCTGTGACAAACTGAATTATTGTAGTGTATTAGTTTATCGGTCTAGGTGTCTGAGAATGCTACTCAGTGATTTTTATTCATGATTTACTGTATCGTGTTGAAAAAATAGTGATTACTGTGCAGGTCCACAGGGAGCTAAACGTTCTAAAGTAAGTAAGGAAGTTAGATTTAATAAACACATAGCTTTCATTTTTGTGTAGTTTCTAAGTTCACTTATGGTGACAGGTTTCTCATAGTTAATTAAGGCACTTCAGGTCTTGTTTTCCTCACAACTGTACATTCATATTTCCTTTATAAATTGTTTGACAGTGCTTTTAAGGAGGAAGTCAGTGTCACCAGATTAAACAGTGGCAACTGGGTGTCTGATAGACTGGGGATCAGTTTCCCAAGGCAGGCTAACAAATAGGACTTTCTGTAGCACTGAACATGTTTTATACCTGTGCTGCACAGGCCCTGGCCATGGGCCATGTGGACCTGGTAGCCACTTGAATATCATTAGTATGACTGAGACACTGAAATTCTGAGTCACAGGGGCTGGTGACTGTTGTGCTGGACTGTGTTATGTGTTGACTGTGTAAAACAGAAGAGGAGAAAGACTTGAAACCAAGTCGTTTCTTAGGTTTGCGTGCCTTGGAGGCTTTGAGAAATAAAAATAATCCTGTCTTAAAGCATTATTCTTTTTGCCTTCAATTTGAATGCTGTATATTAACAATTCATTTGGTAGAAAGTAGCACTGATGGAGACAGTCTCAGTTTTTTAATCATTGTATTCCTAGAAGTACTTAAGTGTAGCTCTTTGTGTTAGTAATCCTTTAAGGGGAAGTGTTTGCCTGAGAAAGACACGACTGCCAAGAGACCCTCAGTGTACAGGCCTGGTGCTGAGTCAGAAAATGCGACTGACAGTCTCATGCGGTATGAGAGTATGCCTAAGTCCTGTAACAGTAATCTAAAATATTGGTAAGAATAGAGTGATAAGAAGACTGTTCTCTACAAGTCTTTTTTTTCTTTTTTTTTTTTTTTGTACTAGGAATCTAACTCAGAACCTTGTGCTCGCCAGGCAGGTGCTGTGCTGTTGAGCTGTCCCCCAGCCCAGCCCTAAGTGTTTTTTTCTAAAAGGATTTTTAAGAAAGTATAGAAATCAAAGGTAAAAGGCCAAATCTTCTGATTTAAGATAGTATCTTTTTAAAATTTATAATTAAGCTTATTGATACAGTACAGATATGCAATGATCAGATTGATCATAGGGAATTTTTACCTTCACAGATATATCTTGCTTCCTCTCTTTTCCCCATTCCCCTTCCCTCTTCTCATCATCCCTTCATCCCCTCCTTATTTACATAGCTTTGTCTTCTTTTTTTTCTTAGTTTTGAAGTTTTATTTATTTTTTGTTAAGATTTAAAATTTCTGAATTTAGTTTAACTTGTAATACCACATTTCCAAGAAAAATGAACCTTTTGCAAAGACATTTAAATAAAATCATACC